CCCCTAAACCCTCAACCCTGAATCCTGCATTGCGAAGCTTTGCGGGGATAGGTCGGCATAGTGCTTTAGGACTGAGACCCATGGACGCTTAAGCCCAGGACCTACCGTGCCCAAGATGAAGGTTTAGGGTTCTAAGGTTCTAGGGCTTAGGGGTAGGGTAGGCTTCTCCAAGCAACAGTGCTGAGGTCAGGCATCTGTTTCGAGCATGTGCTCGCAGAACAGGGTGCAGTTTCTTTTCTACTACACGTAAGAGCATGCCTTTAACGAATGATTTGAGTACGACCTAGGCTTCGGTGCCGAAATCCAACACATCTCGTCCGTTTGCGAAGGCAGACGTTTGTCTCCCGCTACGTGAGCTCCCATCTTGTCTTGCACTGTGCAAGTGAAGCTTAACACCTCGTACGAGCAGAGTTCGCAGATGGCAAAGCAGTTCCGTTCTGCTCCCCGAAACACTGGCTGGCAGAAGGGGCGATTAGCTTGCGTGACGAAGGTGTTGCGATCACCTTGTTGAAGCAGCACAATTTCTGTCGTCTCTCGCAGCGTTTTACTCGCTGTCTCATCCAAGCTGATTTTGCATGTCTGTGGAGGGTGCAGGCTTGTCGCCGATCCTTAGCTTCCGATGTGTTGGTCTGCAGGGATGCACCTTCCCGGACTACTGTGAATTGAGCATCTCATTGGTGCTTGAAGCTGCTTTTTCATGAACCGCCATCTTGGTGCATGTGCAAGCTTCGCGTGGTTTCAAGCTTAGTGGAGCTGTAGCAGTGGTAATGTGCTGTAATGATGCAACCTCGTCGCCTTTCGAGCGTGTGCATTCGCTGCTTCAACCCTTTCAAGCATGTCCATGTCGTCTGAAGTGCATCTACAGGCCGCGAGCGCCAATTTGAAACCTTGCCGTTCCTCCCCAAGCACAGGCAGAAGCACCTTTCCCAGTCAACGCTTTGTAGCTGGCGGTGTTCTTAAGCTCCCTCCGTGAACTCGAGCTCGCGTCTCTGTGTGGCCGGAGTCCCACAGCATGACTTTCCCTGCTGTTACTTGTGCATTCGATGCGCCAGTGGTTCTGCTTGGTGCAACGGCTTGAAGCCGAGTGAGGTACAGCCGAGTGCCCTGGGCCGTGCTTTCTGCTGCGAAAGAAGCTGCCGTGCCGCTGCGGCACGCCCTTCCTGTAAAGCCGCTTCCGCGGCAGGGTGCCTTGACGTTCGCATGATGTGCCAAGTTCTGGTCTTCTGCTTTCTTCGAGGATGGAAATAGCTCACAGTGCCGATGCAGCTGGGAAGAGCCCTGGTTGCAGCTCGTGCGATCCGGGGTTGCGGATGCCCAAAGCGGATCCGTGCCTCTGCTCGACACTCGCGTGAGCCGTGGGAGAAGGGGCGACTTGCTCGGGCGAGGTAAGCTTTGCGATGGCCTTGTTGGGCCCTTTAACAGATGTTTGCTTCCTGCTGCCGGATGCTGCCAGGATTGCCAGCCAGATTCAGGATCAGATCTTGTATGGATGTTGATGTCACATGCTCGTTGCTTGCCGCCTTCTGTTGGGCATATTTGCTCGCCAGCTCTCTTTTGGGTGCTCGAAAAGCTGCACAGCTCGAGCGGCCAAGCAGCAAAGCCTTTGGTGGAAAGCCTTGTGCACATTGCCGTGGTTTGGCTTTGCTGTCATGATCTTGTGAAGCTGTCCCCGTGCACGAGCCACGCACGTCGTGCAACAGCTTTTCTTGATGCTAATGCAGGCCGCGCATATTCTAAGCATGACATGCTTCATACAGCCGGTTAGCGAAGGCTGGCTTCTCTGAAAGTTGTCGCGAAGGAGATGATCGAGATGATGCAGTATTTGCTGTGGTAGTTTCCCGAATAGCGGAAGTTGGGGTTCAGTGAAAATCTGCGAGCAGTTCTCAGTTCTCCCTCAAGAAAAACAGGCCTGTCAGACCCTAAACCTCAAACGCAAACAAAAGCACTGAACAACTAGCGAAACACGGAAGAGCCACACCTCTAGGGCAGGAAGGTTTTCTTGGAAGCGCCAAACCACCTGGTTGTGCTTCGGATCGCAAAACCCGCAAGTGCAGACAGATGATTTAGTGGTTGGAGTTTAACCAGTAGAATCAGTAGAATTGTTCCCTCCTCGCCCGTGTGTCACGATACTGCAACATCCCCCACAATCCCAGTAGAATCGTTAAGGCCCTCATATTGCTTTACATAAACGCAAGACTAGCCCTGGGCTCGAGACTTACCAGGAGTAGGGCTGTTTTCGACAGATCCTCGAGGCATTGTCAGCTGACCATGGAGACTGAACCTCGCTTTTCTGACTTACAACCAGGTGACCTGGTGGATGTGTCAGTACGGGTCTCCGGCAATTTCACCAGCAAACTGTATTGGTGTTTGCAGCTGTCCCCAGTTTTCGCAAGCCCACATCTGTGTGTGCAATGCCCGTCTGCCTGGGTTTTCACCAGCCTTCGGCATATCATCAATGCGGGCGGGACCCGCCTTCAACCCTAAACCCTGTGCCCTAAAACGCAACCAACGCCGAGGGGCACAGGGATCTCCGCCCGGTCGACAATGAACAGGCTTAAGGGGACGGTGCCTTGTGACAGTCCGAGGCAGGTTGGTTGTTATTTCACCACGTGTGAGTCCCACGAGATGGCGCTGCCAGGAGCAAGGGAAAATTCCTAAACCCCAAGCCCTGAAGCCTAGACATGAGCTAAAATCTCAGCATCGCGCCTTCGTAGCCTCGCACGGCGCCATGGCTATTCGGTGAGGGGGGCCGATGTTCCATTGGGGCTCGCGGGGGAAGGTCGAGACCGTTTCTCTGTCCTTTGCAAGAGTTCTTAAAAAACCACCTGTTTCTGTAGTTCGGGTTTAGGGTTTAGGGACAGATCATTCGAGAAGCCATCTGCTTCTGTAGTTAGGCAGTCTCATCATCTTCCGAAGTTGGCCCATCTTGCGGGTTCATTAAACATTACGAACCTTCAAAGCTTGCCCTGCGCGATCCATGTCTGTGATACAGCTGTAGTTGGCAGCTTCCTTGTCTGTTGGGCCTGCAGCTTCCGAGCCTATCCTCACGTTACCATGGGACCCACTGCTCCGCGCTTGCCCCCCCAAAAGCCGCCAGGGCTGACATGCGATCCGGGAAATCCAAAAGCCTACTTAGGGTTAGACCCTATATATAATTAAGGGGTCAGAATCTACTGTCTTGTGGGGTTTGGAGTTACAGGATTATTTTCTCCGAGTCCCCTTGGTGTCAAACTGCATGGAAGGAAGGTCACCCGATGGATCAATGCTGGGCCTTTCTCGCATCTTCATGTCTTGCTCACAGTGCTAACCCTAAATCCTTAAGCAAGTCTCGACAGATCATTTAAGAAGCCACCTGCGTCTGTAGCTAGGCAGTCTCATCATCTGATGTTGGCCCATCTTGCGGTTTCATTAGACATTGCGAACCTTCAAAGCTTGCCCTGCGCGACCCATGTCTGTGATACAGCTGTAGTTGGCAGCTTCCTTGTCTGTTGGGCTTGCAGCTTCCGAGCCTATCCTCACGTTACCATGGGACCCACTGCTCCGCGCTTGCCCCCCCAAGAATGGCAGACATGCGATCCGGGAAATCCAAAAGCCTACTTAGGGTTAGACCCAAAAATTAAGGGGTCATAATCTACTGTTTCGTGGGGTTTGGAGCTACAAAATTATTTTCTCCGAGTCCTCTTGGTGTCAAACTGCATGGAAGGAAGGTCACCCGATGGATCAATCCTGGGCCTTTCTCGCATCTTCATGTCTTGCTCACACTGCTAACCCTAAATCCTTAACCGTAACTCTCAACCCAAAACCCAAAACCCTAAGCACTGCTATGGTGAGCTCGGAGCCGGGGGGTTTGCCGCGTAGATTTTCGCTGTCAGCCTCAACTGCCTCGTCACCCTCGCCAAAGGGTCAAGGTTGGGCTTTGCTCGCTCACGTTACCATGGGGCCCACTGCTCCGCGCTTGCCCCCCCCAGAGCCGCCATGGCTGACATGCGATCGTGGGGATCCGGGCGGTTTGCCGCGCAGATTTTCGCTCTCAGCCTCAACTGCCTCCTCACCCTCGCCGATGGGTCAAGGTTGGGCTTTATTCGCTTCTTCATCCAGGCTTTGCACCGTGGATTCTGTGCTTCTTCGCTCTCAGCCTCAACTCGCCGTGGTAGGCTGAGCTCCCCGAAGACTTCTGCTGGAGTGATAGTTTCGCTGTGTCGTGACGCCCGATCTTTGGGGGCTTCGATGGTAGGCCGCCTGCACGCAAAGGGACGATGCAGCACCTTTCGGGCCTTTCGCGGTTCATTGCGTCGCTGTGGAGCGTGCAGGCATGTCGCTCTCCTGTTGGCCTTGTCTGTCTGCCTTCGCATGCGTCCATCCTTATGTGCCGCAGACGGCCAGCCAGCAAACGCATCTGTCTTTGTCGCTTCTTCAGGTCTTGTTCGCCGTGCTAGGCTGAGCCTGCCGGCTCCTTCTGCCCTCAATTGAAAGTTTGGCACTGTCGTGAGCCCCGATCTTTGTGGGCTTTGATGGCAGCTTGTCTGCAAGCGAAGGGACACAGCACCACCTTTGGTGATCTTTACGGCCCACTCACTCGGTCCCAGGAGGTGCGAGTCTGTCTTGCGTGGCTGTGGAGCGTGCAGGCATGTCGCGCTCCTGTTGGCCTTGTCTGTCTGCGTTCGCATGCGTCCATCCTTATGCGCCGCATACAGCCATACAGCGGGCCAGCATGTGTCTTTGTCGCTTCTTGAGGTCTTGCTCGCAGTGCTAGGCTGAGCCTGCCGGCTCCTTCTGCTGTGGAGTGGATTTTTTTGCATTGTCGTGAGCCCCCATGTTTGTGGCTTCGATGGCAGGCCGTCTGCAAGCAAAAGGACAGTCACGAGGATGCAGGCTTGTCGCTCTCTTTTGGCCTTGTCTGTGCATCCGGCCTGAGCTCACCGTGCTAAGCCGAGCCTGCCGGCTCCTGCCAGAGCCGTGAAAGTCCGCATTGTTGTGAGCCGCCATGTTTCCGGGCTTGGATGGCAGGCTGTCTGAAGGCAAATGAGCTGGCAAAGGGACAGCGCACGACTTCGGGGGTCTTTTGCGGTTCACTCGTTCCCAGGAGATCCGAGCCTCTCTTGCATGGCTGTGGAGTCTGCAGGCTTGTCGCTTTCGGCCTTGTTTGTCTGCATTCGCATGTGTTCGTCCTTATGTGTCGCATACAGACAGCCAGCAAGCGCTTGTGCATTTCTCGCATCTCGATAGGTCCTGCTCACCGTGCTAGGCTGAGCCCGCCGGCTCCTTCTGCTGTGCAGTTAAAGCTTGTCTATCTTCACAGGCCTTTGGCTTTCTGAGCCTCATGCAGCCAGCGAGCAAGTGCTTGCCTGCATCGAAGCACTCCTCGGGCGAGGAAGCAGAGACCCGGCGGCGTCGGGCAGCCGCGTAAGATCTTCGCAAAGTTTCTCGCTCTATGCAGCGTACATGAGGGACAGCACGGACAGGAAGTCCGACATGTGAGAGTGACAATGAGCTGGACCGCGAATGAAAGTTCGATGGGCCTACTGGTGGGAATAGCCTTAAACCCTAAACCCCGAAACCTAAACCCTAAACCCCAAGTGTTGGGCGGGGCGCTTTTTTATGTTGAGCAGGCTTCAGGCCGGTGAGGCAGGGCGGGTTTCAGGAGATCTTAGTCATACGTCCGCTTTGGTTTGGTTCACCCGGGAAGCTGTGGGTTTAGGGTTTAGGGTTAAGTGATTTGATGACTCACAAAAGCTAGAACGAGGCCAATGTTGGAAATTAACAATCAATCGCGCCGCACGTCCCCACCAGCGGCCACAGTCTTACTTTGCGTGGACGTGTTTTGCTGAATGCGCACCGCACCACAGCGGGAGCCGCCCCCACTCTGTAACAGTGGTTTATTCAGAATATAGTTATATATATATATATATATATGTATATATATATATATAGAGAGAAAGAGAGAGAGCCCTTAATATGACCGGTATGGACTGTTGCAGGGGGGGGGCAGTACCCAATTTGCAGGGCTTAAGGCTTGGGTTGCAGGTTTAGGGCTTAGAGACAGATTGGGCTTGTTTGCATTTCAGGCTGCACCACGTTATGCTCTGCCTGCGGCACACTCGACTGCACCAGATCATGCCATAGCATAAAGTGGTTTGTTGATGTGACATCATGTTTACTGCTACTACATGGCATCGTCTACCTGATTCTTCTATGTTAAGTGTCAAACTTCAGCTTGCTATCTCCAGTCATTTCAAACAATCGAGGCACAGGCATCGCATCCAGCTGTAGTGCTAAGCATGCTATAGATGTTACGACTAGTACAGGTCGCAACAGGAGTAGGAGTAACACACAATCCTGATGGCAAGAACGATAATTACTCCAATTCCGATACTGTTCGTTGCTCAGCAAGACTGATGATGCTCCCCTTTCTGCCCTTCCACAAACCTGGGTCGAAGGCTGCGAGGTGCCACCACCTCTGGAAGGCTTCCTTGAAAAATGCTGCGTATCCTGACTTTGGCCGCAAGCCATTTTTGTTTTAACGGGATGTAGAGATGTTGCGTGGATTGACAGTCCTCCTTATCGCGAGGACCTCAGAGCATGCGACATGTGGGATCGCCGCAGGGGGTCTGAATAAGGGCCCATGTAGGTTAGTTGAAATGAGAGTGGCGGACTCTTTGGGGCAACCAAAGAAACTTCACAGTCAGGAGCTTCGCATGTGCCTTGGCTTCATGATGGTTGCAAACCTGGTGACAGGTGCCGTTCTCAAGGCTAAACCCTAAACCCTAAACCCTAAACCCTTAACCCCTAAATAGATGACGTCTCACATTGCATGCGCACTCAGGCACACGTACGATTTCAGGCCATGCCTGACGAAGATGCCGGCTTAGTACATTCAGGAATAAGAATGACGGTAACCTTCTCGACAGCATCGGTTGTCAAAGAGACCGTCGAGATCATCACCGACATCTCCCCCGCTGATCATCGTCATCATCATGATTATCATCATCACCGTTCTTAGGGTACCAAACTCTACGAGCGTTTTGAGTTCGTATGACCGGTGAAAACGCAGGCAGACAGTCTAGCAACAGTGCTTGTATGTTCCCCTGCGAAGCCACCCACCCATCATCCGCCACCCAGAGTCTGCATCCTCAACCCTGAACCGAAACCCTAAAACCCCCAAGCCCTCAAACTCTCAAGCCCCAAACCCTAGCCCCAAGCCTTACAACCCTACAGCCGAAAGCAAGCCAAAGCCCTAAAGCCGTAAACCCGAACGAAAACTGCAGCAACTGGAACCATTACCCTAAACCCTAAACCCTTAAACCCCTAAACCCTAAACCCAAAACCCGTAAACCCCTGAACCCCTAAGCCCCTAAACCCCTAAACCCCTAAACCCTAAACCCTAAAACCTGGCCTTAAAACTGGCCCTAAAAAGCCGGACTCAGGCGCTCGCCTGGCATGGCTCCTCGGCCCTCCCGGCACACATTCGGCCAGGAGATCGGAGGACCTGGTGGGAGTTTCCGAAAAGTAGGGGTACCTTATTTAGGGGTCCTTATAATAAGGATCCTACTATTTAGGGTACTATACTAGGGTCCCCTATTTTCGGAAACCCTCTGGTAAGGAAACTACAAAGGATCTATGAGGGTACGATCCAAACAAGGTTTAAAGGAAAGTTTAGGGTTAATTTAGGGTTTAGGGATCTATGAGGGTACGATCCAAACAAGGTTTGAAGGAAAGTTTAGGGTTTGGGGTTTAGGGATCTATGAGGGTACGA